GACTCGTAAATGCCACGGCTCCCCGCAGTCTTACGTAACTCTCTCACTGACTTGTGAGTGCTACGGCCCCCCGCAGTCTTATGAAACTCTCTCACTGACTTGTCAATGCTACGGCTCCCCGTAGTCTTACGACACTCTCTCATTGACTTGTGAATGCTACGGCTCCCCGCAGTCTTACGACACTCTCTCACTGACTCGTGAATGCTACGGATCCCTGCAGTATCACAATACTCTCTCACTTACTCATGAATACTACTGCTCCCCGCAGTCTTACGACACTCTCTCATTGACTCGTGAATGTGCGGCTCCCCGTAGTCTTACGACACTCTCTCATTGACTCGTGAATGTTGCAGATCATCGCAGTCTTACAACACTCTCTCATTGACTCGTGAATGTTGTGGCTCCCCGAGGTCTTAAGAAACTCTCTCATTGAACATGAATTCACCCCATGGTTTTCCCTGATAATCCAAGGTGATTACTCCCACCTGGATCCATCCACTCTCTTAGCACCCCACAATCTCATCATCAAGCCATCACCGTATTAAGTTCACTAAACTCATGCTCTGCGATCTATCATGGATAGGTGCACACACCCACCCAGATTAAGCATCTAACATACCCGAGTCTCAAAATGCTCCCACAATTTAGGGCATCATACTCGGATACCCCCAATACACCCTCAAAGAACTTCACGTTAGCTTGCCACGACCTCAGATCTTTTGCTTACCCCACTTGAAACCTTTGAAGTGCTCCAACTCATAACTTGAAGTACGGAGGAATCGTCGGTGACTGAGAACGCGTTGACGATAGTCCAAAATCGCATACTCTACTGATCAACCCATGCGAAACTACTCATACCGACTCTGAAGTTGATTGACAAATCAACTGCTGTCCTTCCCGGAGTATAGATAACAATCTATTTAGCGATCTAGAAAATCTCAACAATTGAAACTTGACCTTGACAACCCAACCGCCTCGAACTGAAACATCTGCAAGCCCGAAGAAACCCTAACCACAGTAAGATCGTTGATCAATGGCTACTTTCCGTGGATACACTCATTCTTTCCTGAACACGTACACATGCATCATCTCGCTCTGTATCTTGCCTTCTCCGCCACTAAACCCAAGTCTCATAGATCTGGACCGCAGATCCCCATAACCCCATTTTTTGCACCGCAACTCAAACAGATTGCTGATCCTCCCAACATAATATCCAGTTCTGCCCCACATTGGGTTCGAACCAACACCAATTGGGATACCATAATGACTACTCTATAGATTGGCTCACCAGACATAACATACTCGAATCTCGAAGCGTACCAAGTAACACTCGATGTTCTTCCAAATAAAGACCAAGCAACTCCAAATATTCCGAATCTCAGATGGAATCCTTGGAAACTTCCCAATGTGACTGTCTCCAGTCACCCAAAATCTCATCCGGCTGCACATTTAAATATTTCGACAGTCCTAGAATAGCACTGACTCATTCTATGGAAATAATGGGCCATCACACACTTCATTCTTTGAATCCTCAATCAACACCCCACTGCAAGATTCGACATAGAACGGGAGGCCTCACTCTCACAACCGATCCGCAACATAGATACAAACACCGTCGTTTCGATATACTCCACTTGTTCTCCTGAAATGGTTGGTTGTATACGACTTACCAAACTCAATCAAGGCATACCCTGGTCCTCGTTGGTCACAGTCCCCACTTATGAATCCTTCTCGGCATAAGAAAATAACTCAAGGCCCTCATACCACAAAATCCTCTTGGCGCTAATACCACAACCACCTGGTGCCCCATGGGGTCTTCCTCTAATCTCTGACATCAGAAGCTCACTCACCCATCCTCCCGAAACGGAAAGCAGGAATGATATAATCCTCGACCTAGAATTTTACCATCACAAGTCGTCGGCCGACCACTCAACTCAGGCTGCAATCCTCCACAACGCATCATCTCCAACTCCTCTTAGAGTCTTGCGACTCTAACTGGCACCTCACCAGTCAAATACCTCGAGATCTAAACTCAAATTTTCTATCGAGGGCATACTCCATTTAGGATCAACAGACATGGCCCTCTGGCCCCACAATTTCCCATATCCACTTCGAGTTTGAACAACCATAATCGGATAATTGGTAAAGGCGGAAACACTCTCTACTACGAATCATGGTACCCGAACCATGTTATTTCCCCTCATCCTGCTACTTAGAACCTCTGGAATTCTCCTTGTTTCGAGTATGGGTCCTCTGCTTTCAGTAGTACGGGCCCATACTACCTTCCACATCTAACCATAATTTCCATAAGGATCGTTCCATACTTCCTAAGTAGATGCCCAACCTTCTCGATTGACCAATTCCATTCCTCATGCTCGCTCTCCAGCGAATACTGTTAAAACAAAAGTTGTATATATTAAATTGATGAATACTGTTAAAATTTTCTCCAATCTCACCATAAAATTGATGAATACTGTTAAAAATTTACATTCGATGACTTCTTTGCGGGGGAATCTTCACTAGTTATATATATTAAAACAAAAGTTGTTATGAATAGTAAAGTGTTTGTGTTTTAGATATTTATCGCAAAAGTTTTTATTTTAAATTTTAGCCACAATGCATAGATCAAGAATTTTATATATTTGCTTCAAAATTTTATTATTTTAAACTTAGGAAAAAAATAATCTTTAAAATTTGCTATAAACTTTATTATTTTAAACTTTAGCCATAAAACTTATTTTTTGGCATATTTATCCCCTAAACTTTCGTACCTTCTCACTTTCCATCATTTACTTTGTCGAATGCCACTTTCCACCCTGTACTTTGTAAAATGTCATTTTTACCTCCTCAATTTTGATCATCGACATTTTTTTGTCTTTTTACCTTTTATATCTTTGCATGTTTGCAGGCTTCACATGTTTGGTCCCTACATAGAAAATAAAATCTAAGAACGATCCTTATAATTTACATAATAGGTCATTGTTTAGAATTATATTTACGGGAATGGTGCGTATCTTTAAAAAAATTACATAAATGATCGTTCCTAATAAAAAATTTAAAAAAGCGAGCTTTGGTCCGTACGTAAAAAATGAATTACAGAAATGGTCCCTATGAGGGTTTTTTTTCTTTTACCAAAATAGTCTCTGTAATTTTGTTAGCAAAAACTTATCTGCATCCACCGCGAAATGGGGAGAGGGCATTTTCTAGTATATATTAAATAGAATTGACTTATGAACAATAAACTTTATAAATTTCAAATTTTTGCAATATATCTTTTCAATATTAACATATTTAGTCTATAATTCTGTAATTTATATAAAATGTCTCTATGAGTTTTTTTAATTTTTTTTTTACATAAACAGTCTATATATATATATATATATATATATATATATATATATATATATATATATATATATATATATATATATATATATATATATATATATAAATTTTATTTATTGGCAGCTTTAGCCCCTGCATAGAAAATAAATTGCAAAAATTGTTCCTGTAATTTATAGAAAAGGTCCTTAGGCATTTTTTTTTACAGAAAACGATCCATATGTTTAAAAAAAATTAAAAATAGATTTTACCTAATAGAAAATCTACAAATTACTTCCGCGCATGCCCCCTACAATATATTGTCATGCCTCGTACATCAGTCTTGTATATATGCATGTTTGCTTTCTACACTTTTGTAGTTACGCAATTTCGACCCCCGCAAAACACATGTACTAACTTACTAGTTATTATAATAACAATTCTAATATATTAGAAATTAATAATATTCTATTAAGTGGGTAATAAATGTTTGGGAGGTTATATAATCGGATACAAGCAAGTTATAATGAAGAACAAGGATTATCACAGAGATGTTTTTCACTAAGAAATGTTCTCACAAAGATAATGATCGCACAAAGTGGTGCACAAAGCATCATTACAGTTTAATCTTAATACAATATTATATACGATTACAATAACAAAATCCATTTATTTAAGGGATGTAATCTAATCTATGTATAGTCTGATCCTAATCCCTAAGATTACGAAACATATAATTTATCTATAATTATAATAGTTAATCGACTAATATACAAAAGGAGGAAACGATGTCGCTGATGCTCTAATGGTGCTGTTGTTGGCGCTGGTGCTGGCGTTGGTGGACAGCGTGTAACAGCAGTTTGGCTCATCAGATTATAATGTGTGATCTTACAATATCACCCTATCTGATGATGTCAAAACTAATCATCAAAATTTTCACCAGGTGTATCATTAAAAAACTGGTAAGCCTATTTTACAATTCCTGGCTTCATCCACCTGAATTCTTTAATTTGAAGGTCTTCTAAATGTTTGCTGAGTACTAAAGAGATCAGCACATGATTACCTTATTTAAATTCCTTATGATGTATGCATTCCAAACGAAGATGAAACAAGTGCTCAGTGGGAGCAGAGGGAAGATCTTCAGTCTGTTGAAAGCACATTTGATTTTGATTGTCGAGGTAGATGATGCCATGTTCAGGCTCGTAAATGAACATGTGTTGAATTGGCTCAACGCCCACTGACAACTTGTTGTTAATGGAGAAAATGGCAAAAGGAAGAAGGGACTTTGTGAATTTGGATATTCTAGGCTTATGAGCTTTATCAAGAAGTGGAAGGCTTAGATGAACCAGCTGAAAGCACTAAATTCAGATTATTGACTTTGCTGATCAGTTCTAGCAGTGCCAATTTCACTTCCTGAGCATGAATACTCTTATGTTTAGTAATTATCTCCTGAATCTGGATCCACTTGCTGTAGCTATATTTGACTTATTCACGAGAAAATACAGTCTCAATATATTCGTACTTACTCTTCTTTCTGACCAAATGAACCTTCAGCGATCCATCCTTGGATTTGGTGCACCTAACCTTGATGATGGGATCAGGATTAGACCTTCGAGAAAGAATGTATCCAAACCACTTTTTCGTTAGGCAATGATGTAGTTGAAGTGTTGAAGGTTTTCTCATTGAACAATAAGACCTCCATCAGTTGAGGCATACATCTGAGCAAGTTTGGTGGAGCGACGTTCATCTTTGTCTTCGTGTACTGAAGCATTATGCTCCAACATGACTTCCCTAACTTCCTCTATTGGTAGTCTCCATTCGTCGGTCAGTTCTTCCAAATTAACTGCCAGCATGATTTTCTTGACAGGAGGAGCTGAGGAACTCAGAGCTTCAACATAATTAGCTCCCCTTGAGGAAGAATCATTTCTTTTTCTTGTGTTGGGTTGATCATCATCAGACTCAACATCACTGTGTGTACCCTGAGAAATCTCCCCCTCAGAGAATTCATCAAGATGAATGACATTTAGAGGAATAGCAGTTTGTGCCATAGAACCCATGCTTTATCGGTTAGGAGCTTGTAAGGAAGCTTCTCTGAGGTTTGGATGCTTTGGGCTGAAGTGATTAAGACGAAAATAGAATTTCTGGACCTAATTCGTACGCCCCGCGTAAGTCCAAGTACGCCTCGCATACTGGACCAAGTTCCCCGATCAGGAGTTGCATGTACACTGATCGTACCAGGGAGGTATGCCCCGCGTAATCTCGTTGTGGTCTTGTTGCGTTTTGGGCTTCGTATATTTGGTCCGTTTTGAATGGACTTTCTATTTGGGCCTCTAGGCCATCTGAGATTATGGTTGGGCGAAGAGATGCCTTGGGCTTAGGGTAAGGCCCATATGGGGGTTGGTCCCAATTTGGAAATGGGCCATTAGTGGGCCTTTTGTGGATATCTTGGTTGGGCCTTAGTGGGCCTATTGGGTTTGGGTCATTGTGAGTCTGATTGGGTGGGCCATCTTTATGGCATAGTGTTGGGGTGTAGCCTTGCATAGTTTTTGATTATGGTGTTGGGTTGTTTTGGCCAGTCCAGGAGCTAGTGTACAGTAGCAGCGGCAGTGTAAGATTTCTCGTGTAGCAGTTGAGGTGAGTCTTCTCACTATACTAACCTGAGTGGTAATTTATGTGTGACTGGAGGGTCCTATTCGAGTTATTAACCGGAGGGTCATATCTGTGTCATCGACGGGAGGGTCGTATTCGTGTTATTGACCGGAGGGTCTTATTTGCTTATTTGCTTATACTAAGATATGTTATATTATGCATTCTGTCTTTGTGATTATTGTTTTATATTACTCTGTGCATTTATTGAGCTATGATCGGAGGGTCCATACGGAACAATGAGACCGGAGGGTCTTCACTGATACACATGACCGGAGGGTCCTTATCGAGATATAGTCATGAGAGGCTAACTATTTGTGTGTGTGGTATTTTGGGGAACCCACTAAGTTTCGTGCTTACCGTGTTGAGTAAAATGTGTTTCAGGTACTTCTGTAGATTCCGGGAAGGCAAAGGCATGATTATACTCATTCGTCGGCTTATGGAGATTTGAGGATTTTGGGATACTCTGATATTGTTTTGATAATAACTTACAATTTATGTGATTACTTGAATTTATGAGTAATATCTGAGAATTAAAAATGAAAATTTTGTTTGAAAATATAGTGTGTTACAAATTTGGTATCAGAGCCTTGATTTGAGGGATTCGGGCACACCCTCGAGTATGACTAGACTCAATCTGAGGAGTTAATAATTTTTCAAAAAAAGAATGATTTTTCATCACTCAATTTTCTAAGGAGATTAAAGAGTTTTGAAAGAAGATCTGAAGCGGTGTGTACAATCAGCCAGAGCCGGAGCGGTGATTTCCCAAAATACCCGTACTTGATTATGTCTTGTTATTATGAGCTAATAGAACTGCATGCTAGTTTAGGGCTAGAGATCTGCTCAGAATTGCATGTTTGGGTGCCTTCTTAGGAGAGATGCCTTTATGTCTGTTATGTGAACTGGTAGTGTTACATGTGTATGATTAGAGATCTCCAAAGAATTGAGAGATAGGATCGCCTGAGTTCGTTGATGCCTTTTGTGCTGTGGATAGAGTAATTGGAGTTGTATGCTAGAGTTGTTTTCCGTTCTGGCGGAGGTTGCTCGATGCCCAAATGCTACTTGCTTTGTGGAACTCATGATATATGCGATTAGTTAGAATATCTAATTGACATTATAAGAAGTTCTTCAGCAGCTGATCGTAGAGAAGTGTGGGGACCTAGGAGAGCCTAGAGAGTAATTTCAATTCGATGAGCGCGTTGTTTAGAGATGAGTATTCGCTAGGGAGCGAGCATGTGGAATGGGATTGATCGATCGGGAAGTTGAGCAGCTACTTAGGAAATCTGGGATAATCCTTGTGGAAAGTATAGGTAGATGTGGAAGGTAGTATGGGCCCATACTAATGAAAGCAGAGGACCCATACTCGAAACGAGGAGAATTCCAAGGGTTATAAGAAGCAGACTGAGGGGAGATAACATGGTTCGGGTACCATGATCCGTCACAGAGTGTGTTTCCGTCTTTACCGGTTGTCCTGCAACAATTGTCCAGACTGGGAGTGGATAAGGTAAATTGTGGGGCCAGAGGGCCATGGGTCGAGTTTATATGGAGTATACCTTACGAGATGAATAGAGTCTAGGTTTCGAGGGACTTGACTGGTGAGGTGCCAGTAGGAGTCACATGACTCAAAAAAAGGAGGTGAAGGTGATGCGCTGTTGAGGATTTCAGTCGGGATAGAGTGATCTGCCGATGGTTGCGATGTCGTTTTCTATGACGAGAATTACATTATTTCCGCCTTCCGTGTGGAACGGAAGGGATAGCGAGCTTCCGATTTTAGAGTTTGGAGGTAAACTCGGTAGGGTAGCATATAGTTGCGATATTTTCGCCAGAGTATTTGTGGTATGTCTGCTGCGAGATATTTCTTATACCGTAAGAGAGTCATCAGTGGAGACTGAGATGGATGAAGACAAGGATATGCCTTAGTTGATTATAGTAAGGCATATTTTAGCATCAGTTCCAGGTGGTCAAGAGGAGTATATCGGGGCGACAACCCTCGTTATCTACGCTGTGTATCGACCGTGAGAGTGAGGTCTCTTGCTGCTATGACGATCCACGTGAGGGAATGCTGGTTAAGGAATCGAAGATGAGGTGTGTGTGATAGTCCATTATTTCCAGATTTAGAGTCGTAACCGATTCGAGACAATCGGGATGTCTAGTGGTGTGTTAGTATGAGAATTTTGGTGATTGGAGGCAATCACATTGAGAAGGTTTTGAGGTTCCATCTGAGAATCGGAACACTTGGAGTTGCTTGGTCTTCATCGGGAAGGTCATCGAGTGTTGCGTGATACGTTCCAAGAGTCGGGTATGGTATATCTAATGAGCCAGTCTGTAGTGTGGTCTGTTTGGTATGCCAATTGGCGATGGTTCGAACCCTAAGTGGGGGAGAACTGGGTATTCTGTTGGGAGGATCATTAATCTGCTTGAGTTGCGGCTCATAAGATTGGGATATGGGGATCTGCGGTCCGGGTATATGAAACTTGAGTTTTGTGTTAGTCAAGGCAAGGTACGGTGCGAGATGATGCATGATGTATGTGCTCAGGAGAGAATGAGTGCCTTCACGGCAGGTAGTCGTTGGCCAGGGATCTCGTTGTGGTCAGTGTTTCTTTCGGGCTCGCCAATGTTCGAGTTTCGAGGAGATTTGGTCATGGAGGTCAAGTTTCGATGGTTCAGAGATTCGCTAGTTCGACGTATAGATTGGTATCTATACTCCAGGAGGGGCAGCAGTTGATTGTCAATCAACTTCAGAGTCGGTATGTGTAGTTTCACATGGGTTCAATAGAGAATGGGGTTTTGGATGGTCGTCAACGCGTTCTCGGTCATTGACGATTCTTCCGTACTTCAAATTATGAGTTGGAGCACTTCGAAGGTTTCAAGTTGTGTAATTTGAAGAGCAGTGGTCATGACAAGCTATCGTGAGGTTCTGTGATGTTGTATCGTGGTATCCGAGTATGATGCCCTATATTGTTGGATTATTATAAGACTCGGGTTTTTTGACGGCAAGAGGATCATCGAACGGCTGTTATCTATTCTAGTTGTGGACCCTTCAGTTATTTGTCGCCGGATGGGGTTGTACAAGGGTGTGCACCTATCCATGTTGAGTCGCGGAGTATGAGTTTAGTGGACTCAGTATGGTAATGATTTTATAATGAGATTGTGGGATTGTCTGGTAGCTAGCGGATGTGAGGTTGCAATAGAGTGGATGGATCCAGGGGGAGTAATCACCTAGGACTGCTATGAAATACCATGGGGTGAGCCCATGACGAGCGAGGAAGTGTTGTAAGACTGCAAGGAGTCGTAGCATTCACTAGTCAGTGAGAGAGTCTTGTAAGATTGCGGGGAGCCGTAGCATTCACTAGTGAGTGAGAGAGTATTGTAAGACTGCGGGGAGACGTAGCATTCACTAGTCAGTGAGAGAGTGTTGTAAGACTGCAGGGAGCTGTAGCATTCACAAGTCAGTGAGAGAGTGATGTAAGATTGCGGGGAGCCGTAGCATTCACTAGTCAGTGAGAGAGTGTTGTAAGACTACGGGGAGCTGTAGCATTCACTAGTCAGTGAGAGAGTGATGTAAGACTGCGGGGAGCCGTAGCATTCACTAGTCAATGAGAGAGTGTTGTAAGACTACAGGGACCCGTAGCATTTACTAGTTAGTGAGAGAGTGTTGTAAGACCACGGAGAGACGTAGCATTCACTAATCAGTGTGTGACGCATATGGGTTCTTACGCTTGGGTAGCCTTTCCATTTGAGTCTTTGGGAAACTGGTGGCCGGACCAGGGGCGAGACTGGGATCTCAGTGATGGTCAGGAACCGTTATATCTCGAGTCAGGGAGGAGCTGTCGCAAATTGGAAGGATTGGAGTGTAATGCACGCGTAGACTCACGGATCTCGGGTCATGAGTTGAGTATTAGATTGGATACGAGTGGTTCCAATTTTGTTACTGGGCCAGACTCTTGTGTTTGAGTTGGCTCTATCTGTGTGAAGGATAGGAAAACTGGGAATTTCGGATTCTCAGATGGATTCCATTTGACTGGTTATGGGTCCCATCTGAGGTATTAGACCTGGGTGGGTCAGTTCGTTTGGCTTGGGGAGGACCACGACATGCATGTAATTAGCAAGTGGTAGACGACAAAGGTCAGAGGTGATGTGTAACTGTAGATCGGTTGTAATATTCGCTTGGGGTAAAGTGTACTTAGTGATTGTGTGTACAGTGTGATTGGTTGAGATAGATCGGTTGGATTGAGCGGTTGTGGAGTCGTATTGTCGGATGTGCTAGAGTAGCTTTGGTAGTCTAACTATTGGGTCGGGAGTCGATCTTGTATCCGGATTTAGAGTTAAGCAATGAGAGGCAGCTGAAGTCATGTGTTCGGATATCAGTGGATAGTTCGCCGGGCATGGTCATCCAGTTCGGGGCCAGAGC